GTTTCGTTTGGGAGTCTGAGCTCTTCCCCCCCCCCTCTCTATCTCTGTACGTTCTTCCCGCATTCCTCGTTTTCTCTTGTGCCTTTTGTTTCTCGCTGCGCTGTGGTGACGGCGGTTCTCTGCGTTGCTGCAGCACCAAAAGAAAACGAAAAAGTTCGTTTACTGTAGTAGTAGTAGTAGTATTATTTATTTATTATTATATAGGTTTTTTTCTCTTCGTCGTGGGCGCCGTTTTACATCCGCCAACTCCCTCTTCTTCTTTTGAACTTCTCTCTCGTGTGCTGATCTCGCGGCAGCTTTTAATTCTCGCTGCACTTCCTTGAAACATCTCGTTTAGGATTTGCTTTCACTATTGTACTTAGAGAAACAGCCAAGCGAACGCAAACACAAAAAGACATGGAAGTTATTTACGGTTCCATCTATGTGGAGATCGAATCTGTTCTCGGGCTTTTCCAGGGAGGGACGACCGGCACAACGACCGTATCAAGAGCAGCCGCAGGTGCTGCAGAGCCGAGACAGAAAGGCACTGCAGGCAACAGCGTTAGCGATAGCAACGACGCCATATTCTTCTCAACTCCGCCAACGAGCGAGGTGAAAGAGGATAAACGTGGGTCTCTGCCGCAGCGAGAGGTCTCGTCGCACAGCCCATTTGGTACGGCTCTTTCGTCTAGCTATGCCTTCTCGGAACAACCAACCCACATTGGCGGCACTAGAGATGCCGCACAAGTCTCTGCTTTCGGCAACACGAAGAATGGGGCGGCAAAGCATCGCGAGGCGCCGCCGTCAGGTGTGCATAATTCCGGTTTCGCGCTGCCGGTCATAACCGTTCCTTGCCCGCCTCCGTTAACGGTGCGCTTTGGTGAGGTGACGCACCTCATCGATACCCAGTCCGCCGCCGCTACTTCCGCGGCCAGCGTTGGAGGGCTGATGTCATCCTTGTCTTCGAGTGGGCTGGGTCCAAAATTCTTTAGCCCAACCACAGGCTGCGCAGCGACTTCAGCGCACTTGAACGGCAGCTCCCCCAGTAGTGTGGGCGGACGCGTTGAAGGACCGACGCCTTTGCTTCGGCTTCCTCGGCACGGCAGCAGCAAGAGCAACGGCAGCAGCAACAACAGTGGTAGTGGGAGTCTCGGCGTCCCACATGGGATGCACGCTTCTAACCGCAAATCGAAGAACCCCTCTACGGGGTCGTCGCAGGACTCGTTGCTCTCTGCCGCTGCTGCGGCGTGGGAGACCGTGCTAGATATCGTCGACAACAGCACCGAAAGCGAAGACGGCGACGGCGACGGCGGCAGTCCGGTCACCCCACCGCGCAGCTTCCATTGGGACTCCGCCTCGTCTGCGACGGAGAACGACGAGGTGCACCACACTGCGGGTTCTGCTGACAGACTATCACCGACCAATGCAGACGCACGCCCTGGACGGCTTCCCATGCTGCCATCCCCTGAGTACCCCACCACCGCCACCGCCGATAAAGGCGTCGCACCGCGGCAGGGGACGCTGCTGTGGCTGGCGGATCACGTACGGAATGATCCGAGCGTTCTCTCCGCCATAACATGGGTCGGACCGCGGCCTCAACCCGGCTTGGATGCTGCCGCGCCTGGCAGCGCCGTGGCTGCCTCCGCCTTTGCGTCTGCCTGGTACGCGCGTCTCTTCCCTGACGTCGAGGACGAGCACAACGTGTTGTCGGGTGATGTGCAGGCCTTACAGTCCGCGTGGCGCAGTCTACGGCGGTGGAGTCCGCGGCTGACGGCCGCCGTCTTCCCACTGCACCAGCGCTTCTCGATTGTGAAGACAGCGATCGAGGTGCGGTCGAGCGTCGCTTTTGATCTGCTCGAAGCGATGCGACAACGCGCACCGAGGGAAACGGGCAGTCACCCCGACGACAGCGACGCGGAGGTGGGGGCGGGGTATCTCGCGGTTCGCCTTGCCACCCCTGCTGAGCTCAAGAAGGCGCGCCACGCCGCGCACAAGTCTCTCGTCGGAAGCCACAAAAAGACAAAGGAGGCCGACAGTTTTTTCGCGCAGATACACCGATCGTTGTTTACAGGGCACCGGTCCAAAGAGGACAGGCGGTCTAACACAGAGATTCGCCGCGGCAGTGCTGCTGGCTGCTCCAGTCGTGGACTGTCTCGCGCATCTCCCACCTCGCCGTCTCATCACCAGCCGGCGCCATCACTTCTCCCTGACATTCCAACTCCCTCGTCCGCATCGAGCGCGGCGCAGGCGGCACACACCAGCATCACAAGCCAGAGGAGAAGTAGACTGGAGGCGGGTTCGTTTGCTATTCGTCTGCATCTCAGCCGTCTGCTGAGTCCCCTGATCTTTGACTGGATGAAAGGGCACCGCACGGTAGAAGCGCAGAAGACGGAGGGAGAGGAGAGCAGCGGAGATAGCGAGGCAGCGCGTGCGTCAGGGGGTGATGACACGCGGAACAGTGTGCACCACACCGCGCACGCAGACTCCGGCCGCACCGCGGTGTTCTGTAGGTCTCTCTATCTACCTTTGCCGCTGTTACCGCCACCATCAGAGGAGGTGAGGGAGGAGGAGGACGGCTCGTGTGTTGCGATGATGCTGAAGGTGAGCGTCCTGTTCAGACCCGGAGTGGATGCAGCGGAACTGTTTTAAAACAAGGAAAGAGAAGAGGAGCTGCTGATACTATCGGGGCGTCGTAGCACCCCCCCTCTTCCCCCCGCTCACATACGTTAGGTGAGCGATGTCTGGTACTGCGATGTACGGAGGAGAAAATAAGCTCGTGTGGTCGGTAGGTCTACATCTGTCCCACTCCTCAACCTGATGCCTTCTTCCTTGGCGGTGAGTGCGGGAGCTCCGAATACTACTACTACTACTACTACTTCTATTATGAATAAAAATAAATCGTTCTCTTGGATACTTCAAAACGAAGGCATTGTGCAGCTTCGATGACACGTACGTTTGCGTCTATCGCGGAATCCCTCGATGGAATGACACCTGCCAAACGTATATGTATGCATGTATGTGTGCATCGGAGACAGGTTCAAGCAACGAATTAAAAAAAGAGAAAGAAATAAAAGGACAGAGGCAGGGAAGAAAGCAACGGCACAGTGATTGCGTTAGCTCCTTCCTTGCGCGTTCCACCTAACATGAAACCCAGCAACAGAAACTGACGAAGGGAATTCTTCCTACCCCCCCCCCCAAAAGCGCTGCCGTCATGTGCAGCCGCTTCCAGTCTTTTGCTTTTATGGCTCCACGTTCATTTTTCCGGTTTCGAAACAGTCAGCATTGTGGTGCATCTCCTTGACGTTTCAACCAACTCCACTTAACGGACGTGCTTCTCTTCCTTTCATCTCTATTCTCTCCCCCTCCTTCCTCTGGCTACCTAATTTATGCCTCGTATCTTCTTTTCTTCTTTTGCAATGACCGAGCTGCGTGAATCGTCTCTTTACCGCAGCGTATAACTCGATCAAACTCATTCTTTAGCCACTTCTCACGGTATGAACACCCTCGACCACTTTTCGTTTTCACGCTGATTTTTTCCTTTTGGGGGCTATTCGTCTTGGTTTCCTCACGAAGCCGGTGACGCAAGTTGCGCGGGCTCGCTCGCGTATTCACACACGCGTGTGCACTCCCTTTACCTTACGCCACAAATGTGTCTTTTTTTTTGATAGGTAGAACGAGTTATTATTTCCCTCTTTTACGGTTCACTTTGCATTCGTGTGTGTGTGTGTGTCTGTGTTTGAAACACGCGAACAAACAATCGAAACCCCACAACGCAATTGAACCCCCCTCTTTTTTATTATTGTTATTATAATTTATATTCCAATGAGTGATTCAGAAACAGGGTCGTCACCCCGCGCCGATGAGCCGCCAGCAGCCGTCGTGTCTGCATCGTCGCGACCATCCAGCAAATCGTCTTCCACTTCAGCGCACAGCCGCCGTGCAGCTGGTCTGTCAGACATACCCGGACCGGTGACCGTCTATCAGCAACCGCTATTTAAGAGTGCACATCAAGCCTTTCACAACACGTCCTACTCCCCTCCTCTGCGCATCAGCACACGTCGACTGCAGGTCTTTAGTTACGTGCTGGCCGAACTGAGCAGCGCCGCCACCCTGCTGCCCGACTACACACGAGCCATTTTAAACCTTTCCCGCAAACTGCTCGGAGCGTGGCAGGCGATTACGGCGGCCACCATCGCCCGCACGCGCTACGAACATGCGCTGATTTGGGCAGCCTACCGCCGCCGGCAGCAGCAGAAGCAGCAGCAGCAGCAGCAGCAGCAGCAGCAGCCGTTCTCTGCTTCACACCGTACCTCCGTCACCGCGATCGCCTCCGGAGCGATTTCTCACGCGAGATCCGCCGGCACTCGGGCGGGTCGCAGTGGAGGCGCAAAGCGGCGCAGCGCGTCCCCTCCCTTTGCAAACACCATCACCACCACCACAACAGCGTCAGCTGCTGCGTCGCTCTTCCACGCTGCGGCCTCGTCGCACAAGCGTCGACGGCTGGGAGGGGAGGGGAGCAGTAGCAGCAGCAGCAGCGGCAGTGTCAGCAGCGAGGGTGGTGGGGCTGGAGGTGTGCACCGTGCACGCCCCACCTCCGCCTTTCCGCAGAGGCGAGCTCTCCAAGACGTGTGTGCGTGGACAAAGCAGCCACAGCGGGAACAGAAAGAGGAGGGGAAGAGAGGAGGGGTAGAGGCGGCCTCCGCGCGTGTTTCCTCATCGCCTGCCACGCGTCCACAACGGACACGCACGATGAAGAACGCGCGTGGGGGGCTCAAGTTGCCGCCGCCGCTTTCGCTGCCGCTCGGTGGTGGTGGTCGTGGCGGTGGTGCGGCGGAGCGCCGGGCCCGTCAGCTGCTGCTCCGTCACCGCGAACAGCTCTTTCAGCGCACCCTACAGCAGCTCTGGCTGGATGCGCAGGAGAAGGAAGATAGGGCGGGGCAGTACGTTGAGTTCCTCCGTGAACTCGTCATGAGTGCGATCCTCCAGCAATATCTGGGGGTAGCGGTCGAGCAGAGCTACTATGACCTGGTGCTGTACCGATGGCTCACGCCGGTGCTCGTGGAGGTGCGTGATGGTGCGGTGGCGGCGGAGAAGGCGGACGAAGGGGGCACGCGGCGACGGGCAGGCCCCGATGCTGCACCTACAATCGATCGTCACGGCCGACAAAGCCGCCGTCCACACTGCAGCCCGCTTTCTTTTGTATCCCCCGCGTCTTCTCCTCCTCCTCGTGCGGGGGAGCTGGAGCACGGCTGTGGCGGTGCGGTACGACGCGCCCGCCGCCGTCAGGCCGCAGTGCAGGTGGTGCGTGATATGGAGTTACTGCGGCAGGTACTGCGGCGTGCTCAGATAACGATAAGCTCCGCAGGGGTGCGTAACGCAGCGCGTATGCAGAGGAAGAAGGACAGGCAGGACTTGACGGGCGACAACGACACCTCCCGCCCCCGCCGCACGGCATCCACATCGTCTTTCACACCGTCCTCGTTGAACTCTGCGTCTGCGTCTTCGTTGGGGTCGCACTCGAAGAAGCGCCGCCGCTCCCCTTTTACTTCTCCTCCCACCCCACCGCTATCGCCGCCGCCTCACTTCAACAAGGAGGAAAGCGTGGCCGAGCACACGACAGGGGACGCTGCAAGGCCGGCTGCCTCCCGAATGTCTGGTGTTCACGATAACACAACAATTACAGCACCACTTCCAGCATCACCATCATCATGGGTGGAGGCTAGCAGCGCTGTTGGAGAGCGAAAAGCCATCACAGTCTCACCGTCACGAACTTCTTACCAAGCAGAGGGCACTCCGCCTTTGGAGGCTGCACCGCGAAATGAGGAAGGCAAAAGCGGATCAGCGAGGAAGCCGACGCCCACGAATTCTCCTACTCGTGCTGCACAACAAAGGCCGTTCCACACAGCAGCGCAGACGGACGACGACGGCGACGGCGACAGAAATGAATACGAGGACGAGGACGACAACGAGGAGAGCTCCTTCTACACCACCCTTCGTCACGCTGCCCATTCACGCGAGCGCTCCCCACGGCTGCATGGAGAGCGCCTCGTCGCCGCCCCCCTGCCGCTGCAGCTCTTCCTGCAGGCCTGCACTTCGTTTGACCCAACGCACTGCGCCTTCTCCCTCATATCCCGCTGCGTGCTTCTCGCTCACCACGTCCGCGATGAGGAGGAGGAGCAGGCGAAGCCGGCCAACTCGGCCGCCGCCTCGATGACGAAATACACCGCGTTTGGGGAACCCGCTTCGCCGCGAAGGAAAGTGGTGAAGGACGAGGCCGAGGAGGGGGAAGGTCTGCGAGGCGGAGAAAAAGATTCGAATGAGGGACTTACCGGTCTGTTTTACGTTGTGATTGCCCGCCGCGCCGTGGGCGCCTGCGCGCACACCGCACTGTGCTTTGGCAACCACAAATTCATCTTTGTGCGCTGCCATGACACGGAGGCCCTCATACGTGAAGTCCTGCTGAGCGACGAGGACGAGGAGGAAGAAGAGGAGGAAGAGAAGAAAGACGCGGGCGAAGGTGACGACGACGAACGCGCTGAAGGAGGAGGTCGGGGTACCATTGCGCCGGCAACTCAGCTTGTCAACACGGCGTCTGCTGTGACGACCGAGGCAGGCGACGCGGTAAGGATGACCAAGAGTCCGCACACGAGAAGGACGACGCAGACCCCTCAAAACGAGCGCCACACACGCACTTCACTAGCGGTTGACGTGCGCAAAGACGAAGGGAGCGAAAGCGACGAAAGCGAGGCGACAGGGCGCACTCCATGCAGCCACCTGCCCCCTACGCCAACGTGCTCCGTGAATCAAGGAACACAAGCGAGACTGCAGAGGATGACATCAGGAAAGGAGCGGTCCTTTCACGGTTCTCCCCTTCCACCACCACCGCCGCCGCTATTGCAGTCCCCTACGCTGCGCTCGCATATCAGTATTACCGCGCTGACCGAACAGGACGCACGACGGCTGCAGCGCAACGCCAGCACCGACAGCACGTCTTTTCAAAGTCAAGAGAGCGTCGACGTACCGCACCGCAGCGCTTCTCAGAGCGATGATCAGGCGCCGTGCACCAGCGGAGCTCCGCTGCTGCCAGCAGCAACAACGCCGCCAGCTGCAACGTGTGCCCTAACCAACACGTCGAACGTGCCACACGTCGCGCCGGTGTTGCCGCCTCTTCCACCTGCCGTGGCGGGCAGCAACGTCACCGTCTATTCCTCCGCTGCTGATGCAGAAGCCGCGCATCGCTGGGGCCGTCACATGCGTCAGGTCGCCCAGGCAGGACCTCTCGCCACGGCCCCACCCTTCGTCTCCGCGGATGCGATGGACTTGCAGGTGAATCCCGGATTTGCGGAGACGGCATTGCTGCTGCCACCGCCGCCGCAACCGCCTTCTCGAACCTTTCACCCCTCCAGCACCACGATCACCACCGCCATGAACGCTAGCACAACAGCATCGTCCACTCTAGAGACGCTTGCACCGGTGCCGTCGTCGTCCGCACGGGAGAGGCTTACCCCGAGCACGCTATATGACCCACACTCTTCTCGTCTAACCGCGGCGGATGGACAGTCAACACGACCATCACTGCCACCTCCACAAACGCTGTCCGTACCGTCCACTGAATCGGCGTCAGAGGCGCCACTCAGCACATCGGTGCATAGCCCTCTGCACTTGACACCCCTCGCCTTTCATACGCGCCTCTACACCGGCTCTGGTGATCGACTGCGCGTGCCGCCGCCACCGCCGCTGGAGGTGTCACGGCAGACGCGGCGCTTCGAAGCAGTGCCACCCCCGATCATCGCTGCTGCTGCTGCTGCCCCTCGTGTGTCCGGCGAGCACAACACGAACGAGGAGGTGGCGCCCGTGCGCAAGTCACCGGCTACGACACCGGCGCCGTTTCCAGTACGTCGGCTGTCATCATCAGGTTCAGCGAGTGGGACGGATCCGCACGAGCAGTGGGGCAGCACGGTGACAGACGAAGAAAAGGAATCGGCGGACAGAGGCGCAGCGGAGCGCGGGCGCAGCGTGGAGGAGAAAATGGCCGACCGCGGGAGCGGCCACAGCGATGAGAATGACGACGAGGTGGATTACGGCGATGCGCAACCACAGTTCGTTGTCATGCACTCAGTGCTGTGCAGCTGCATCCGAGGGGCAAACGAAGCGGATTACAATGCCCGTAATAATAGCCGCTATCATAACGGGACGCCGGAGAAGGAAAGCGAGGCGATGGACACCGCTCGTTTTCCACCGGCGATGCCGTGCGCAACGCCGAGAGCGAGCGCTTTTCCGGCGTCTCTGCAAGCCGCGGAAGCCTTCAGTGGCGCGAAGGGCGGCGGCTTCCAATTAAGTACCGACCCATCAATGGGCGACGACTTTCCCCTGTCCTACTTTGAGCAGCAGGTGTTGCTGCCACCGGGCAGCGGACAGGAGTGGCGGTTCAGCGACCACGGCAAGCAACCTCCGCGGCTGCAGCTCAACTCGGGGCTCTCTGCTCTTCAAAGCTCGTCGGCGCAAGCGGCGGCAGCAGCAGCGGCAGCAGCAGCGGCAGCGGCGGGGTCGCACCTGTTTTACATGGCGGAACCGCTGCTCGCAACCACGCCGGACAAACAAAGGGAGACAACAGCTGCTCTGGCGGAGAAGGACGAGGTGGACGAAGAAGACGTGGAGGTTGACGCACGCGCCGCCACGAACGCGAAAACGGACGCGCCGGCAGGACGGTCGGACGATGAAGAAGACGCACTGCAGAGGGAGGAACGGGATGACGTGCAGGTTTCTACTCCTGCGCCACGCCGCACTGCCCGTGTGGATCAGCGACCACAACCGCCGCAGCACGCCTCTCTGAATGTAAAGGCCGAAAGCGGCCCTACCACGTCCCACGAGCCCTCGCAAAACTACCCGACCTTTTCTCCTCTTCGCTCTTTCCCACCACCGCCACCAGCACTAGCGGCGGAGCCGACAGACGGCGACATGGCGTTTGCCGCAGAGCTGTATAGTCGCCTTGAGTTTTGGTGCCTGCGGGGGCAGGACCGACGTGCTTACCTAGACCCCTCATGGCTGCGCACGGATGCGACGCACCGCGAGGCGCACACATCTGAGCTGAGTGAAAAGACGACTGCTTCAGGTCGTGGTGAAGGCGAACCTGCAAGCGGCCCATCGAAGCAACCGGCTCGAGAGCATGCGGCGCGTGAGGGTGTGGACGGTGCGCACCCCTTCTGCTTTTCTTGTCTGGGTGTCGATCACCGTGCAACTTCGCCTGCTATAGAAGACGCAAACGCGACAGGCGGCGACGCGGCGTGGGCGTCGGCTTCTGGTATGGTGCGCCTTCCACTGAAGCTACTCGACTGCGCCGCTGGCACTATCGAGCTGGCGGACGAGGCGTGGCTCGCGATGCGGCTGCGCAGCAAACGAGCGGCACGGGCACGTCGCGCAAGGCGACAGAAGGAGGATGCCACCGCGGACGACAGCAGCGGTGCCACCGATGCACGACGCGCTGAGGACGAAGAGGATGGAGGTAGCCGCGGGCATGCGACGGATCCTGAGAGCGAACTCTCTGAAGATTTCGATGGCGAGGTGAACGAGGAGTCCGAGGAAGGGGAGGAACATACCAGCTTTCCGTACTTTACGCCGCTAATGACGGTAAACGCGCGGGGCAAGGAACTCCTCTTCGAGGCCTTGCACGAAGCCACCGAAGTGGTGGTGTGCGCCGTCCGCGAGAGTCGGGCCCACGTCGGCTATCACGACCTACTGCATCAGCGGTGTCCACCACCGCCTTCTCCGTCATCGCCAGCCACCGCGGAGCAGGGAGGCGGAGGCGCGGTTCGAAGTGCGTCACCTGCGGCGCAGGCGGGCGCGCTGACAAGGGTGAATACGTGGGCCATCACGGCAGCAGCGGCTGCGACGCAAGGATGCACCTTCCCTGTGGCCACCGGCACCCTCTCGCACGACGAGCGCTGTCCGTTTACGTTTGATCGGCACCAGCACCTCGGCACCTTCGGTACGGTGCGGTGGTCGCAGGGGAATGCGGCGGTGACGGATAGCGGAGCGGATGATGCGGCCGACTCGGTGACCGTGGCGGGCCGGAGTGAGCGCTCCCTCCACCTGTCTCCCCATCCAGCTCCTTCTTTTTTCTCCATGGACGGCGGAGGGAGGCCCGCTGCGGCGTCACCGAGCGAAACCGATCCAACGCAGCCGCACACGCACGCAACGCACAAGACAGCATCGAGCCACGATGCCCGTCGAGGCAGCGGTGGTGGTGCTGGAAGTACTGCGGCTGCCGCTGCCACTTCGTCTGCCTCGCCGTCACACGCGTGGCGGTGGCCAGCGTTGCCCGCCAACGATGAAAAGCAGTGGCGGTGCGAGCTGCTGAAGAGCGAGTTCCGCCTGGCACGTTCGCGCTGTTTGGATGCGCTGCTCGTGGACCACGTGCACGGCCGTCCCATCGCCGCCATCACACTCGAGCCACGGACGTGGACGCAGATGCGCGACGACGCTTCTAGTGCTTTCCCTCCCCGTTGTCAGGAGGGCGAATCGCACAACACCAACAGACGCAACGACGCTGCTGCCGTGCACAACGTAGGTAGCCGTGATGAGTACAAGGCGGAGACGGATGCCGGCGAGGACACGTCACCGCTTCCGTTTCGCTTACCGACATCGACGCAAGAAGTGGTGCAGCGCACTGTTTACCTGGTGACAAGCTTCACCCACTACGTGGCACCGTTGTGGCGACACTTGAAGGAGGAGAAAGCTGTGCTGGTCGACATGGACCGCACCCTCGTCGACAACGTGATTACGGTGCGAAGCTCGGCGGAGCGGCAGCGTCACCTGTTGCACCTAACGCATGCGGTGGCGGCGGCGGAGAGCAAGCCGGGTGCGAGGAACCCGTGTGTGCTGTGGCACTCGCCGCGGCGCCGGCCGTCGGCGGCTCGGTTTGCCGCCCCGCCTTTTCGACTTAGCCACAACGACGCCTTGCCACTGTCGTGCGAGGAGGCGCTGTGGAATGGGAGTGGTTGTGCTTCTGCGGCCGAGGAACATCGCGCCTCGAGTCCACTTTCCTCCTATTCTTTTTCTACACGAAAGGACCAACACGGCAAGCAAGGCGGTGACGATAGAAAGGTAGAGAGGAAAGGCGAGGGCCTACTGCATGCCTTCCTGCGCCGCACCGAAACCCAGCGCGAGTCCCTCGGGACGTTGCACTACGAAGAATGTGGTGCGGTCACCTACGCAGCAGGGACCCTGTACACCTCCCATAACGCGGGGGAGGAGCCGAGGGGCACGGAGGGCAACACGCCTAACGGCACGAATCGCGGTGTCTCGTTCAGCGCCTCCTCCAGGGCAGGCTCGGCAGAGCGAAGTCCTAGCGTCTACGCGGACCTTGTGTACGTCCGCCCGGGCGTCCGCCAGTTTCTGTACCGCACCGCCGTGCAGTGGAATATACCGGTGGTGCTGGTGACTAAGTCCACGCGGTGTCGCACTGAGGCGATCCTGCGCAGCGTGCTGGACCCACACCGAATCCTCTTTCCAGACCCACAGGTGAGCATCGTCACGGCGGATGAGATGCTGAGCGCACTGCCATCATTGGAGGGGAGTGACGACGCCTGTGCGGCGTTTCGAAGTGAAGACGACAGTCATGCTGCGGATCGTCCGGAACGGACCGCGCAAGATGGACGGCCGACAGGCACGCATCAACGCTCTCTCGGTGACCACTCCCGTAGTGCCGCACCAGCAGCTACCACTACCACTACTAGCGTTGCCGAGCGCATCGCCAGCTGCCACAAGTCCACCATGCACGTTCTCCAATGCGTCCTTGACGCGGCAGCCCTCAACTCTGCGCAACGGGCATGGAGGGCACCGCCGTGGTGTGACCTGCCAAACCGACTGCCGAAGCCGCGCAGCGTAGCGGTGCTGGACGACGCGCCGCAGGTGTGGGAGACGCGCGACTGGCCCTGCACCGTCAACATCGCACCCTACACGTTGGCCCGCGTCGACCCGCGTTCGTACTTCAGCCCACACGGCTACCTGAGTGCGTTGGTGCTATCGTGCCTCTACGGCTCGAAGTGTTTGGTGTGCAGCGCGGGGGAGCTGCACGTGGGCGGAGCAACGGGCTCCCGACCCGCATCGCCGGCGAGAGGAGGCGCTGCCCGCCCACCGCTGTCGAGGCTCGAGCGGTGGCCGCACTGCGTCTGTGTGTGTCCTCCCGACCACCAAGACGAAATTGCCCGCGCGGAGGCGGTGGCGCCGGCGGATCCCTTCTCCTTTTACGCGAAGGATGCGGCGGCGAGCGTGACGGCGATGCTCGCCGAGCTCGTATCGCGGTCGTCGCAAGGTGGCGCGGCGGGTCCTCGACCGCGCCCATTGCTGCTGCCGGACGTCGGCGCACGCGCGCCGCTGGTGGAGGGGGGGCCGAGTCCGCGGTCTGGCAAGTCGGCCGCCGCGCGTCGGCATGGAAGCGACGTGCTCTACGGCAGTCACAGCGTGATTGATCTCTTGTCGGACTCGTTTCACAGGCTGAAGGGGCCGTTTCCAACGGAGCACACAAATGCTTTCGGTGGACTGTACGGCAGCAGCGCATCTATTATTGAGGACGTGAAGCCACTGCCGCCACCAAACCAAGGACGGGCTTTAGCATCTTCTGCATCATCGACGAGCACGGTGGAGAGGCTCGAGCGCGCGTCGCGGCCGGAAGCAGTGAACGGGATGGGGCAGCCTTCGACAACTGCGCGATTGCACCCGCCCTGGGCCACCGCCACAGCAGAAAACGCATCCAATGCACAAGAGCAGAGCACACGAAACGAAAGGGGTGCGGTGGGCGCTCAGGAAGAGACGCACCTGCTTTCTCCTTCCACCACCGACTCCTCCAGCTCTTCGACGAGCTCAGCATCGTCTTCTTCTTCACCATCATCGTCGTTACATGACGCTGCGCCTTCGCTCACAGAGGACGCGTCCAGAGAGTTGAGCGACTCCCCCTACTCTCTTCCGAACGAGGTCTTTGCTGCCTCCATGCCGGCCACACCGACATCGTTTGGCGCGCTGCCCGAGGCGTGGTCGAGTGCGGGACCGACAGCGCACCCCCTCTCCACCGCTGCTGCCGCTGTTGCTACTCGTGGAGTGGCAGACATCGCCATGAACGCGGCGGCAGAAGAGATGGACAGTGCCATGGGGATTCCCGCTGGCGGCACGCACTTCGCACCCGACGCGAACTCCATCACGGGAATCGGAGAGGGAGGGGGAGATGTGGAAGGCTGGACAGGAGCCAAGGACTACGAAGATGTGGAGCCGGTGCACATCGTGGAGACCCGAGGCGGCGGGTCAGAGGTGCAGAACCTGACGGCCGCTCCGTACGCACCATCTACGGCGACGTGTGGCCGCAGCGACGGCAGTGAGATGCACTCGAGCTCGAGTAACTCAGATGTGGAGGACGTTACCCCACTCGGGGTGCAATCGGCGCTTTCTCCGTCTCAGAACAACGACCGTGACAGCAAAGTGGGCGCCTCTGACTTCGCTGTCAGCAGCGGACAAGAAGCAGCCGCGACGGCGTCTCGGCGGCGGAATGCGGAGGAGGTCTTCGCTGCTCCTTCTGCTGAGTCGACGTCAGCCTCTTCTCTTCGCAGAGGAGTGCCAGCAGTATCGTCCAACACGTCTGACCCATCGCGAATGCGGAGCAGCGTCGTAGCGGACGTAGAGACAAGCGCACCGCCGCTGTCGCCCCTCACACCCCAGCCGAATTCGGTGGGAGGCGCGTGCGTGGGCGAGTTGCGGCGTCCGCAGCGACGTCGCCTTGACGATCCACGGGACACGGTGGAGGATGTGGTGCCTCTGTGACTGGAGCGACGTCCTTGTCATCGTTGTGTTGATGGTGCTGGTCGCCAGCCGACCCCCCCCCCCCCCCCGCCCGTTTTTCTTTTCGGTGCACGCTTCTGTTTGTGCACTGCTTTCGCTTTCACCCGCTTTCCACGTCAACTTCCTTTTAAAAAAAGTTGTCTTTCTTTTTTAATAACGATAGCGACTCCGCCCACTCGATCGTGATGAGGCTGCATGCAACACATTTGCTCGTCGTTGGCGCCCGGAAAAGTGAAGCACAGCTATCAAAAAAAAGAAAAAAGGGATGTCTCCCCCACTGGCTCCTCATCTTTCCATTCCCGCTGATCACTTCATTCTCCCTTCTCACAAAATCCTTCCTTTTCACCCCTCTAACTCGCTCCCCCCCCCCACAACTCAGCAAAGCTGCTACGGCGCGTTGGTCGCAATGATGCCTCGTCCTCCGCTTCCGCTGCTCAAGTCACCGAGCTGCTCTGCCGCCCTTGCTGCTGCTGCTGCTGCTGCATCTGCTTTGGACGCGAAGGCATCTCTGTCCGCCTCCAGAAGCTCCTCTCTTCTCACCGCGTCTCCTCGGTCCCCTCTCGATGTCGCAGCGGTGGTGAACCACCGTGCGGGTCTGCTCCGTAGCACGGCCCCACGTCTCGCCATGAACCTGCACGCCAGCGACATGTCCACCCCCGACCGCGCCACCGTCAACGCGGCGAACAGGAAGGAGTTCAAGACGCCGCTCTGCACGGAGCTGACGAACAAAATTATCGCCCAGGGCTACTACCCCATGTCGCAGTACATCAAGGACTGTCTGACCCACCCAAACTTCGGCTACTACGCCGCGAAGAAGCACGTTATCGGGAGCGAGAAGGCGGACTTTCTGACCGCGGCGGAGATCTCATTTTTCGGCGACGTCCTCGCGGCGTGGGTCATGGACGCATGGCAGAAGATGGGCACGCCGCGGGTGCTGCACCTGGTGGAGATGGGGCCCGGTCGCGGCACCCTCATGAAGACGATGCTGCGGCAGATTCAGTACTCCAACCCGCACCTGCTCCACTTCCTGCAGATTCACCTCGTCGAGGTCGGTGCGGCGCGGCGCGAGGAGCAGAAGCAGGCCCTGGCAGAGTTCCAAACCGCACAGGGCAAGATCAAGTGGTGGATGGACCTGGAGTCGCTGCCCTTCTCGCTCGAGCCGACCATCTTCCTCGCGAACGAGTACTTCGATGCCTTGCCGGTGGCGCAGTTCCGCTACACCGAGCGGGGATGGGTGGAGACGTGTGTGGAGGTGGACACCGATCCAGCGACCGAAGCGCACTTCCGCCTCGTGCACGCGCCGTCCGGGTCGATGTCCGGCTACCTCATCCCAGACGAGGTGCGCCAGAACGGGAAGCTCGGAGACTGCTATGAGGTGAACACGGTTGGCATGCAGACAATGGAGGTGCTCATGAAGAAGATGATCGACTGCCAGAAGGCGGCGTGTCTGTTGATTGACTACGGCAAGGATGAGCACATGCACAGCACCTTGCGCGGTATTCGTGGGCATCGCTTTGTCGACCCCCTACTATCGCCTGGCGAGGTGGATCTTTCCTGCTGGGTCAGCTTCCGGCAGCTGCGGTGGGCGCTGGAGCGGCTGGAGGTGGCCCGTCGGCACCTGAAGTGGTTCCCGGTCATGACACAGCACGACTTTCTGGTGGAGAACGGCATCGATATTCGACTCGCGCACGTGATCAAGGACGAGGAGACGAAGAGCGCGATGAAGATTCTGCAGAACTACCGTCGCCTCATGGACGCCGAGGAGATGGGCCAGAGCTACAAGGTGTTTGCCTTCCAGACTCGCAACTTCCCGAACGTGTCGCCCTTCTTTGCGGAGATGCCGCTGCCACCCCTGCCGCAGCCTCGCGGGGGGAGGAGAAACTGAGAAGGCGGCGGTTCCCTGACCAACTGTTGACTACCCTCCCCCTCCTTTCTTTTTTTCACACCAGCTTTTTAATAGGACTGACATATGACATTTCAATCAAACTGTGTTTGAAGGAAGGAAAAAAGGCAGGGAAAAGGGGGACTTTGCCGGGTGTGGATCTGCGCGGATGGAGAGCGGAGAGTGTAGGCGGCACGCCCCCTTTTTTCTCTATTGTATTGCTTGACGCTGTGTGTCACTTCTGTGTTACTAGTTCTTACATTTTTTCCTTTTCCTTTTCTGATTTATCGCGGATGCCGGGCAGGCTGCTAGGGTGCACCGAACGAAGACGACTAGCATCACATTGAAGCAACAACACTACGAAAGCACACATTTGGGTTACCGAAGAGGAAGTAGGGGGAGAGAGAGATTCGTGAAAGCAAGTGTCTTTGTATTCGTGGCGACGGATTTATCAGTCGAGTGAGGAGCAGGGCTCTGCACCACACACGAAGAACTGCTCTTGTCAACGGTCGTGCTGATTTCCTGAAAAAAGGGGGTCCGCTGCAAACGCGTGCTGCTTTGCCTGTGCCACGCAGCAACCACGGAGTCAATCACCACTCTGCATTGCTTTTTTTTTTTGCATGAAGACGCAGATGCAGCACCACGATGTGACAGCTCAGTTCTGTAAGTCGAAACTTGATCCAAAACGCGGCTTTCATCCTTCTCTCCGTTCTTCCCTCTCTCTTTTTGTTATCTCCCCATTGGCACACACACAGTATCTCTTGTCCATCCGTACGGGGACAGAGAATACATACATATTTTACCATCTCGTCTTGTTTCTTCTGCCGGTCCCTCTCTCCGTGCGGTCAAGCGCAGTCGCAGAAACGCCCACCAAAACAACGGAAGCAAACATACACACTTTTGTCAAAGAAGGAAAAGTTTTCCTTGAATAAGCCAAAGGGATTCTATTTCGTTTGGCATCGAAGCTGATACGCACACACAGACACACACTCAAAGATCAGAGCGAGACGAAGGTGAGGGCTACACACACGGGTAACCCAAGAAGTCGAATAGGAGGGTCAGTTTGCAAACACACAAACACCCACCCACACAACCAACCATTTTTTTTTGGTTAGTGTCCTCGTCTTTTCGTTTCCACATCACGTCTCACCCTTTCTTTTCCTGGCCGTGTTCATTCTCCCCTTTTCCAGCAAAGACGGCTCATCTTACCATTGCCGAACGGTGTGCCTCGTCGGAAGCTGTTGTTGTTGTTGTGCTTTGCCGGCCTTCCCCTCAAAAGCAAAGAGTTAATCGTTTTCTACTTCTTTTTTTTTTGTTTTCTGTGTAGCTGTTGCGTGCATGCGTTAAGTACAACAAGCTTTCCTCTCGCTGTTGAAGCATCGTACATACCAACACACTTTTTCTCCCTCAAAAAGCAAAAACAAAAGAGATAAAGGTACATACGCACCGCTGTAGCGAGTTTTTTCCCCCAAAGGCGGCTTCGCTGATGCACCTTCGCTGATACATTTACTTTTTGTTATTTTCTTCTATTTCTATTCTTGTATGGACAACTCTTATTATTAGTAGATATATATACATATATACTCATGGCGAGCCACTCCCCGGTCACACAGGATGCGCAGCGCTACCGCCCCCGCGACACGCACGCGGAACGGCTGGCGGCGGCCGATAAAGCTGCCCTCGCCCGTTGGAACTCGGCGACGAACACTGCGTGGTACCCCGACTACCATTTAGCTCCCTTTACGGGGTGGATGAACGACCCCAACGGACTCGTGTGCTTCCGCGACCGCTACCACGTCTTCTATCAATACCACCCGTACAGCTCCGATTGGGGCCCGATGCACTGGGGTCACATCACCAGCGAGGATCTCGTGCACTGGCAGCACCAGCCCACGGCGCTGGCGCCTGGAGACGCGTGCGATCGCGACGGCTGCTTCTCCGGCTCCGCGGTGACCTGCGACGATAAGCTGTACATGTTCTACACAGGCCACTTTGTACTGGATGCGCCGACGCCTAGCAACCCTGATGCCATCTACGAGCACCAGTGTCTTGCCGTGAGCAGCGATGGCATTCACTTTGAGAAGCTCGGTGCGGTGGTGCGACCCCCACCAGGCTACGTCCACTTCCGGGATCCGAAGGTGTGGTTTCAAGAGGGCCGTTGGTGGATGGTGTGCGGCGCGCGTGACTCCGCGAAGGACCTCGGCCAGCTCCTGCTCTTCACCTCGGACGATTTGGAGCACTGGGATGACTCGGTGTGGCAGGTGCTGGCGGTCACAGAGGACAAGAACGTGTTCATGTGGGAGTGCCCGGACTTCTTCACGATGGGCCGCCGTGAAGATCTCAAAATTCTTCTCTTTTGCCCGCAGGGCATACGTGCCAACGAGTACGACTACCGCAATCGCTTTCAGAACGGGTACATGGCGGGCCACTGGCTGCCCGGTGGGCCGTGGACGGTGCAGCGCGAGTTCCGCGAGCTGGACCGTGGACACGACTTCTACGCCGCGCAGACTTTTATGTCCGCGGATAATCAACGTCGACTGATTCTGGGGTGGCTTGACATGTGGGAGAGCCCGATGCCGTCGAAGGAGCACGGCTGGTGCGGGTGTCTGACGCTGCCGCGGGAGCTGCACTACAGCGAGAGCACCGGTCTGCTCCGGATGCTGCCGGCGCGGGAGTTGGTGGGGCTGCGTGCACCGGAGGTGACGATGGTGCCGGGCGTGGTGCTGGACGACAACAGCGATGCGCAGCTGCTGGCGGACTGCACGGCGTACGAAGTCGACATCACCTTCAACACCGAGACGAGCACGGCGGAGAAGTACGGCCTCTGGCTGGGCGCTGAAGTGGAGTTGTTTGTCGACACGCAGTCCAACCGCCTTGTCTTGAACCGACACTACCCGCAGTACATGCTGAGCGGCTACCGCTCGTGTGAGATGCCGACGACGGTGCTGCTGCGCCTGCACGTGTACGTGGATCGCTCGTCGATTGAGGTATTCGTGAACGACGGTGAGGCGACCTTCTCCTCTCGCATCTTTCCAGACGAGGGCGACCGCGCGCTGCGTCTCTTTGCGATTAACGGGACGGCGGATGTCGTGGGCGGGAACATGTGGAAGCTGAAGGCGACGATAGAGCATTGACGCGGACAACGACCACCTTTTCTCTCCCTCCCCCTCCCTCCTCGGACACACACACGCGCACACACACACACCTATACTCGCGGCGCATCAACTGTGGTGAGGTGTGTGTGAGTAAGTGTAATGGGCCACGGAAAGCAAAAAAAAAAGGGCTAGATAGGATGCGACGTGCCCAAAGCGGCGTTTCCTCCCGTCTAACTTTTTATTTTTGAAGGTGTACGTATTTGAATTCATAATAATAAAAACAAAAATAATACAACCACAGCAAAACAGAGAAAGCTTCACAAGAGCAAGCGCGTGTGACAACTGAGTCCTACTTCCCCCCTCTTTTTTTAAAGTTCAACGGGTGAGCCTCGAAGAGCTCTTTCCACAGGAGTGGAATCACTCTGATGCGCGGTGCTCACCAATCCAATTCAGCAAGTGAAGAAAATCGATGTAATCATTTTTTCTTTGTTTTGTTGCTGACCTCCGCAGTTTTAGGATTAATTACATATGGGCGACGGATGCCGACTGTGGCTGTGATGGCGAGACTGTTCTTCTCTTACCATTCTGCTTTGCGGATGTAAAACGTACGCACCGATGTGGGATACGTAGGAGCGGCAACAGCATATTTTGTGTTTGAAGGCCGTGGGGGATGTTGAACCGTCCGATATCGCTACACACGCCATCACGCAAAAGCCCAGCCAGTGGGAATCTGGAAAACTGACCTACACACACACACACACACACGCAAGAGACGTACGCCTGTCCCCACTAGAAAAAGGGACTTTTCTTGCCTTGAATGCATTTCGCATACATATTACGCTGGTCGTTAACAATCGTATCTTTTTTCTTTCTTTTTATATCTATCGTGTTTAAGTGCGAGGAGCACTCCGTTTTACTGCCATTACTGCTGCTGTCATGGTTGTTATGGTGGCCGTTCGTTCCATTTTCTTTGTATTTCACCTTTGCGTCTGGGAAGCAACGCTGAACTCATCGCAGCGTCGTGATGGACTCGTTTTTTCGTTTTTAATGTATGCTCTTTTGCAGCTTCTTTTGTATCCGAGACGCCTCCTCGTCTCATGTTTTGTTTCTCCGGTCACTCGTGAGGTTGATGCCGTCAGCAGAGCTTCCTGTTTGCTTATTCGGTCAGCAAATAAGTGCTATGTTCTCAAAGGTGCTTTACGGACTCCTTTTGCTCCTCTGCTTTCTTCTCTTCGTATTGTTGTGCAGCACTGAAAAGGTGGAAAACTGAACGAGAAGCAGCTTGCCCAGTGGGTCTATTGTTGTCGTTGTTGGCGATCGGCAGGGAGCGTCCCCTCGTCTTCTTTCTGTAGTATTTCTTGGCGTTTGATAATGGTTGTTTCTTCGTTTTTCTTTTTTTTCAGGCAGGACCATGTGCGACGCACACACACACACACATGTGGAAGCAATTAATCTGCAAATGAAAAAAAAAGATAACAATCTGCTTACGGGTTGTGCGCGCTGCACATCGCGTGCTCTCGACGGCGTAAAGCAGCCTGGCGTGCTTGTGTGCTTCTTCGGGTCTTTTTTTTGTTTGTTTCTACGGGCACACGAGCGTGCTGCGTAAACAAAGCCGCTTGCCAAAGTGCGTTTCTTTTCCCGGCGTTGCAGTGAAGAAAAAGCGACTGCTGGAGCGATGAATGGTTGGTGTCTAAGGCGCACTTCCAGGATGTACCTGCTGCTGCGTTCCACCACCGCTAGATGCATGTGGATTCATAAAGGGAAAACACGCAATAACCTCACCGCGTACGGCCCGTTTTTCCAATTCGGTCGACTCCCTCGCACTGTCGCTTCCACGTTCTGTCTGTGTCTTCTCCCCTCCCCCCTTCGCGTCTCACAAATCACAACGCACACGTATTCATATTTATGTTTTCAATGACCCACTTAGATGCACACCCGAACGTGAATTAGCGCCGACAACAAGAGATTACACGAAAAAAGAAATAACACACGTATTACTGTTACTGTTATTTGTCATCATTTCGCGTTGACGTCCTTCTTCTGGTAGTGCCCTTCTACCCCCGGAAAAATATATAAATATATATGTATGCGCACATGTGTGTGGTTTGAACCATTCACGTGTTGCATAGAAACCGAAGAAACTGTTGTTTCCCCTTCTCTTTTTTCCAACTGTGTATACATACGCACCCCCATTACTTTCCCCGAAAGAAATTGGTTTTCCTGAGTCCCGCCTTCATATTCACCTTTGCCGTGCACTTATGTGTGTGATCTTCCGCAAAGGGGCCAGGTGAAGAAACACAACTTTTGTTCTTGTGGTGTGTGTGTGTGTGTGTGATTCCCCTTTGGTGAAGCTGACATACGCGTACACGTATCTTTTCCTCTTCCGTTGGTTTTGATTTTTGTTTGTTTGTTTTACTGCCTTTACCGAGCAGGCAGCGTAGCTTGATATATATATATATATATATTGGTCTTCTTCTCGCCTCTGCCTATTGGAGCTGAGAACAGTTGTTTTTCCTGCTTTCAGTGGAAGACGAATACGGAACAGCGCAACCGTTGTCATATTGATATCTAAGTTGATATACACAAACAGCCAAACAAAACACACACAAAAACCTTTTTTTCTCCTTTCCTGCTATTCTCGGACAATACAACCCAAGTGAAGGGGGAGTAGAAAGAAAACAAAAAAAAATACAAGCAAAGTAAAAGGAACAAGGAACAAACCCTCATCACCTTTGCGAAAAGAAGAGAACCACACGAAGAACAGTAAACAAGAGAGTCCTTTTTCATTTATTGCTGCAACTTAACTCACGAGCCTCGTTGTCTACAGTTTGGGTACGCTGCAACACCCATCTTTTCATATTTTGCATGAACAGCCGATTTCACATCCTCAACAACGTTGAAAGAACAAAATACAGTTACCTTATCCATTTTTTTCTTCTTTGGGTTTCTTCGTTTACGCGTTGCTTTTTCTATCTTTGTCAAGCAACATCCGACTCGAACCTTCGGGGGTTAAGCAAGAAATACAAAAAGCGAAAGGACGAAAGGACGTTCTCTTTTTCTCCGTTTCCAGCTTAAAAACAAAAACAAACAGCTGCGGCCCGACGCTACCACAACTACGAAGCAATTTCCCTTTGTCTTTTCGTGCAGCTGCTCAACAGCCAATATTGCCTATCTTTTGTTTTTGCTCTCCGTCTATCAAGGTAGTTGCCGCCTTTTCTTTCTCTTCTTTCTTTACCGTCATCATCAGCTAGAGAAAGTGCAGGAGAGGCAGAGGCGAGATGCACTTCACTTCCGAATCTGCAGCGACCGCGATGGACGAGCGCAGCAAGCAGCAGCAGCAGCAGGAGCAGCCGGTGCAGCTCACCCATGCCGACCGCATCGCGCAAGCCACCCACACCCAGGACAAGGCGTGGAGTGTGATGAACAAGCAGTGGTACCCCGACTACCACATCGCCTCTTACGCGGGCTGGATGGGCGTCCCTGGCGGCCTGTGCTACCACAAAGGCGTCTACCATGTCTTTTATCAGCACAACCCGTACAGCGAAAACTGGGGCCCGATGCACTGGGGTCACCTGACGAGCGAGGATCTCGTGCACTGGCAGCACCAGCCGATCGCCCTCGCGCCTGGCGACTCCTTCGATCGCGACGGATGCTTCTCCGGCTCCGCGGTGAGCTTCAATGATAAACTATACCTTTTCTACACGGGGCACTCCTGGCTGACCGAAGAGGAGAAAGCAGCCTTGTACGGCAGCAGCAGCGCCACGGACGAGAACTCCTCCTTTTACCAGCAGCAGTGCGTGGCGGTGAGCAGCGATGGCATTCACTTTGAGAAGCTCGGTGCGGTGGTGCGACCCTCGCCGGGCTACGTCCACTTCCGGGATCCGAAGGTAACGTTCCGGGAGGGCCGTTGGTGGATGGTGTGCGGCGCGCGTGACTCCGCGAAGGACCTCGGCCAGCTCCTGCTCTTCACCTCGGACGATTTGGAGCACTGGGATGACTCGGCGTGGCAGGTTCTGGCGGTCACAGAGGACAAGAACGTGTTCATGTGGGAGTGCCCGGATCTGTTCCGTCTTGAGCAGTCCGATGTGATGCTCTTCTCCCCACAGGGCAAGCGCAAGGTGGGCTACGTGAACCGCAACCGTTTCCAGAGTGGGTACATGCTGGGTGCGTGGAACACGTCCATAGCGACAAGCGCGCTGGCGACGATCGCACAGAAGAGTGCGGCTGCACCGCCCAGTCGCGGTGCGCGTCGCCTCATCGGCCCGTGCCGGCTGACCGAATTCAACGTTGCGCAGCGCTTCCGCGAGATCGACCGGGGTCACGACTTCTATGCTCCGCAGACCTTCGCCACCGTCGATGGACGTCGCATCATCGTGGGCTGGCTAGACATGTGGGAGAGCCCGATGCCAACGCGCGAGCACGGCTGGAGCGGGTGTCTGACGCTGCCGCGAGAGCTGGTGCTGGATCCCTTTACGGGCAGCATTCGCATGATCCCCCCGCGGGAGCTGCTGCAGCTGCGCTGTGCGCAGGCTACCATCCCCCCGCAGCGCATCAGCGAGAGCACTGACATGCTGCTCGTGGAGGACTGCACGGCGTACGAGTTGGAGGTGACGTTTAATCGACAGACGAGCACGGCGGAGAAGTACGGCCTCTGGCTGGGCGCTGGAGTGGAGTTGTTTGTCGACACGCAGTCCAACCGCCTTGTCTTGAACCGACACTACCCGCAGTACATGCTGAGCGGCTACCGCTCGTGCGACTTGCCGGAGAGTGTGCTGCTGCGCCTGCACGTGTACGTGGATCGCTCGTCGATTGAGGTATTCGTCAACAACGGCGAGGAGGTGTTTTCCTCTCGCATCTTTCCGAGCGAGGGCGACCGCACGCTGCGTCTTTTCTCAATGAACGGGAGCACGGATATGGTGAGCGGGAACATGTGGAAGCTGAAGGCGACGATAGAGCACGAGAGAGAAGCGGGATGAGAAAGACAAAAAAGCTGGGGTTGCACACGAACCGAGTATTGTGCTAGAACATAAAGAAAAACCGACGCAAAAACTCTTGCAAAAGTGGTTTGTTGGAGGAAGGAACGCTGTGTTTTTCTTGTTTGCTTGCGTGTGTGTGTGTGGCTCCCAACTATGCTCTCCCAATATATTGGCGGGTGCGCCCCGCTGGCACCCAAACAGGCACAAAACAAAGTTCTCTCTTCCGTTCTCCTCCTTCATTTTTTTAAAGACGTGTATTCTCTTCTATTTTCTTCACTTTACGGAATCTTTTTTCTTGTTTTGTCTCCCTTTTCGCGACTGAGGCGCCACAATTCTTTTGTTTTGTTTTTTGTCCTGTACGCGTGTATTTTTTTTTTTCTTCTTTCGTTACCCTCTTTTGAGTTGATGGTGCTCTGAGTGTTCTCTGTATCCGCAAAGGTGCAGTGTGCTTCCTTTCTCCTCTCTCTCTCTGTGTGTGTTTGGCCAGCGTCGTAAATTTTTCTTATCTTTTTGCATGCAAAACGGACCACTCCTTTTTATTTACTGTGCTGTTCTCTTTCCCCCTTTCGTTGGTAAATCTGTTTGTTTCATGAAAGAGACTCTTTTCTTTCTCTTATCGGAATCTGTCTACCCCACGGCCCCTGAAGGACACGCCCGTTGCGGTATTTTCCCCCCTCTTTTTTTTTCAATGCGTCTTCGGACAGTGCGCGATCATGTGCGCCTTCCATGCGTCTCGTCGTTGCGACCCCCCGCTTCTATTTACTATTTACTATTTATTTATTTATGTTCTTCATCTTCTCGTTTTCTAAGGACCCTGCAAACGGCAGAGGTGAGAGCCGGCGTTTGATGCGCATTTTATTATTGTATTTATTATTATTTTTTTAAATATTATCTTGTTTTGCTTTGTACTCGTGGGGAGTTGCGCCCGCTCTCATGTTACTTGTTAGACTGCGTATGCATCTATCTTCTTATAGCTCCCTTTCTGTGCTTTTTTAAAATGCGTAAACATTTTCTATTGTTATTGTTTTCTTCATGTTTCTCTTTCACGGTACTTCCATTTGCCATCTTTTTCTTTTCAGTTTTCTCCCTTTTTGAAGGGTTTTTGTACCCGCTCGACGTATTCGTATTTCCTGTCTTTGACAGTGAAAAGCAGTTATGACCACTTTTCTTTAAAAAGAAAGAAAAAGTATGAAAGCGACGAGACGGCATTCACAGACTTCAAAAAGAAAATGAATAATTAAGCCAAAGTTTTTTTATTTATTTATAAGTCATCACAACAGAAGCATGAAATTAGGAAAATGAATTAAAAACGACGTTAAAAAAAACCCGATGCGTGTGACAGTTCGGCGAACCACCTGTGCCAGGGAAAAAGAAAGAGTTGTGTACAATCGGAGTGTTGCGAATGGCCAGTCTTTGTGCGTGTGTGTGCGTGTCTTATATTATTATTGTTTTCGCAAAGCCTGTTTATTTTTCATTCTGTTGTTTTCTTTTGCTCTTGGAAGGTAATAATGATGATAAGAATATAAAAAGTTCTGCACACAGCATACATCGGTTTTATTTTTTAAGTTTCACTGCATAGCGACAGACGGTTTTAACGTCGATCCTCCTGATGATTTCTATGACAAGTGAATTTTTATTGTATAATGACGAGAGTGGAGAGCAGTGAAGTGAGCGAAATATAGGTATAGTGAGTGCGAGTGCGTGAGTTGGTTTTGCTTTCTTTCTTCGAGGAGCAATTCATGCTACAATATGTATCTCAACCACAAAAACTTATCTACTTCTCATTCCGCTTGTATCCTCAACGCTCCACGCGAAAGAGAAAACACTGAACTTTTCCTATTTTCCTTTGCAGCTTTGTGCTCGTTTCTGCAAAACGTGCCCGCTGATCGCGCGGTCCCCCGACAGCTTTTTTTTTTTGGCTACTTAAAAAAAAAGGAATGTTATTTCCGCTTCTTTTTCTTGGTTTATTCAATTGTTGGGGGGTTTCCAAGAGAAGGTGAGATGGACGTAATGCACGTAGCAACAACCAGAAAACGAGAACGATCATTTGCATAGTGGGTGAGCGCGTCAGTTGTTGGTTTTTATAATGATGTCGTGCTTGACGATTGAAATATATGTTTGATGTATTCCCCCTTTTTTTTTTTGGCTGCACTGACGTGACAGGTTTTCGTGGTGCGTGTGTGTGTGTGTGTGTGGAG